TCTTTATGTTTGACGATCAGTACCGATCCGGCGTATACTGAGAAAGTGGGAAAAAGCTATGTCGGGAGAAGCTATGCGAAGTATTCGCGAGAGTATCGGGACGCGAATTTTCCATTGACGCGCACGCTGGGGCTCACCCACGTGTAACACCGACCGTCAGTCGTTTTGCGTTTACGCGCGTCTTATTATTACTTTTTGCTCCTCTGGGAGAAAGTACGGCGCGACACCTTTTCCCGTGTAATTAAGTTCGCGGGAACACACGTCTGCGAGCCGAAACTTCATTCATGATCCGTCGTTGAAGTCATCCGGGAAATTCTTTTCCTGCTTGCGTTACAAACGTGCTAAAACGACTCTTGAAGGAAAGACTGGAAAGGGAGCGGAGGAAATCGCGCGAATATTGCACGCACTCGTATATAATATAAATTTCCGATGAAATTTCATCCGAACATGCTTATAAATGTACGACGAGAGCGTTAACAAAAAATAGATTTCGTTATGCAAAGGGGAAGAGCGAGCGAATAGGAACTGAAGGCTCAAGATCAGTGAAAACGCTAATTACCACGGAGAAATCATTAATTATGTCGCTCGCCTCTCCCTTTTTTTCTGTCCGGCATCCTCTCTCCTTCTGTCTCGCTTGCATTCTTCCGCGATGCTAACTATGTGAAGTACTCCCACGACACAAGAATGCCGCTCAAGATCACGGACTTACGGTCGTGCAAGTCGACGACTCTCTTAATTATTCCCAACGTTTTCCTCTTCGCCTCCACCTTCGCAGCTCCTCTTCTCTCAGCTCTCTTCTTAAAGATGAAATATCGATGCGCATTTATAAGTACTCGCGCGGTACAATGATTGTAATAATATTATGAATAATTTCCATAGAAGGTTGAAGAAGAGCTTCCACAATTGATAATTAATACCAACGCACGGCCAACGTGTTCTCTACGTTCTCTTTGTAATAATTCAAGTGTCACAAATGATCTCGTAACGAATATTTTTTCGCTAGGCAAGCGGGAAAAGCAAGCGATGAATTGACTGGAGTAGCAAGATCTAGTGATTAGATAGCAATTAGACACCAATCGATATCCGATGTAGTTATCGCATGTGAATGAAATGCAGTGTCTGGAATACTTGGCAGGTTTCTGCGGCGGCCGAAACGCGCGGGGTCGTCGTCTCGCGTTCGCCGCCAGTGAAATCTCAGATCGAAAGCGATTATATTTACGCGAGGTGGAAATTTAAAAAAGAAAAGCATGAGAAGCGTGCATTCTTGGCTGTCGCCGTTATCTCGCGCCGCGGATCGTGCCGGCGTAATACAGCGCGACTTTCAAATAACGCGCCGACCGACGCACGCTTCTCCGCCGGGTGACGCAAAGACGGGCGATTAAAGTAATTTAATATTAGCACGTTATCTTTCTCTCTCTTGGCCGTCTAGAGGAACGTCATTTCTCGGATTCTTACTTTCCGTCTTTATCGTGTGAACGAGTACTACCCAACATAAGTTTTACACAAGACGCTCGTTTTCTCGTTAGCGAAGCCGGCTTACTTTTTCCTCGTTTTTCGTGATTTTCTTTTTACGCATGTGGACGCGCGCCGACTTCTCACCGTGCTGGAAAGTCTTTATCGAGCATCCGTTAACTAGCGCTAGTCGCTCGATGAAACTTTGAGAGATGTCACTCGATGCGGAGCCGCTTTCAACACTCGTTCTGAATTCGCTGCTTTCCTTTTTACGAGTCGCGATCGACCGACATCTTCCTCTCGCCGCCTCTACCACGTTCGTTGAAGCGTACGTTAAAAACGAGCGAGTAGTCCCGCGGATCTATCATGGAGAAATCCGGAATCCTGTGCGTCGCGAAAAGATATCGAGCGAATTCCCCCCTGAGCATTTTTCGGTTAAGTCGAATCAATCTGCGAAAATGCAACCTGGCCTCGTAACAACGTACTGGTCTCACTGCATTCCTCGTATCGAAATCCGCGACTGAAACTGTTGTCCAGAACACCTTCTCACTTTTCTCACCTAGGTCGCTTATTAGCGTTCATCGCACATCCTTTGTGCAGGGTGGCGTGCGAGAAAGTAGCCCGGCCTTTGTGTGATAATGGCAAATAAAAAATTGGCCATTCGTTCGCACAGTACAATCTTCGAGATAGTATATAACATTCTTTAACGACGGTAAAATGTTAAAATAATTATAGTTTTAAGGAGAAAATCCGTCTTTTCCTCGAATTACTTCGGTTTCTGCTTCGCATAAATTTGTTGTCAGAACAATTCAGGTATACTCAACATTAACTTTTTTTCCGTGAAGAAGATGAAAGAATATGGAAAAGGTTTTTCCGTAAATCCGTAGGCAATGATTTGATTTTATCCACGCTTATATACCTGCGTGTTCGCACACGTGATTTAGACGAAAGCCGAATGCTTCGGTACCTCGCGAGAGATAAGACGCGACTTCCAAGCGCCTGCCGACCACCGTACGATAATCACGTGGACATCCAAATCATTGCCTACACAAACTATAATAATAGTAAAATCAAAAAATGATAATTTTTTTTAAATTCTCTCTTGCTGCTCTTATTAAGGGCCGCGCTTCCTGTATATAGGCTACTTTCTCGTGCGTACGTCAATTTGCGCACTGCTGTGACTTCATCGCCGTATTTATCGTCGTATTGACGGCGGTGAGGGTCGACGAGTTCCTCGATCTAGGATCCGTCCTCTTGCATCACCTGCCTAAGAGTATCCTGAATATCCGAGCGCAATTGACGATGCACGAGAAGAGGGGTCGATCTCGTTCCCCTTGGGCAGCTGCGCGCCTCCACCTCTTCCTTCTTCGTCTGCCTCTCCTCCTCCAATGACTCAAGTCCACTGACCGAGACTCGCCAATGCCGCGCCGTAAAGCTGAAGAAAAAGTCCCGATCGTAAAAGCCGCCTCGCTTCCGCGCTTCGCGATAGCTCCGCCGTTCGCGATTAGACACCGCGGTCGCGGAAATCCGCGACCCGACGATGAACGTTTCAAACAAAAATTCTTAATCGGACCTACCGCGAGAGGAGGTCCCTGCATCGGAAGTGAATTCGCACAAAGGAAAAAGATTCAAGGAAATAATTATTCCAATAATACCTCTTAGCAAATTTTTATTTGGATTAAATAATATTTACTGGATCCAAGTAAAATGTATCTATTATTTTACATATATTATTTTATTGCATATATATTTCCTTAATAATAAATAATATAAAGTAATCTTTATATATAATATTTGTCATTAACAATATAATCCGGGAAAAAAATTGAATCTTAAACTGAAGAGTGGGGAGAGGCTTGATTAGCTCAGCGGTAAGAGCAGTCGCCAGCGATCGGAAGACCCGAATTCGAATTCCGGCCAGGTCACGTCTACTTCGCTTCGATATTTTTCGCTCTCTTACGATATAAGATGTGACATCGCGATCAAGCACTCCTGTTATTACGCACCATTAGAAGAAAAGTGCTAAATTCAAATAATTACTTCAATACTCCGGAGCATATATTTACTAGAAGTATATGTTCTGCATAAAATTGGACACTTTTACTAAATGAAACTACACAATTTGTTGAATTTCATTCAAGGAGATATGTACTTACTTCGAATATATATTTTGTTTTTCGACATAATAAAATCTTTATTTATGTTCAACGCATTTACGTTGTGTTCTTCATTGTGACAAAATCATGTCTTCAACTGATGTGAACATTTTTCTTTGATAAATAATAATTATTACATTTCAAAATATATTTTTTTCAATATGAACGAATATTTTCTTGATGTAAAAAATTTTAAAATAATTTCCTTGGAAATATACAACTTTTACTTGAGTTGTTACTATTACATCGATTTTCTTGAATGTATTTTTTCAGTATATTATATTTATTTTTATATTTCAGTATATTATATTACTTTGAGCCCGGTCCGATTAAATTTCCACGTTTTCGTTCGACCGGTCGCAAAGAAGATTCCAAAGTCGTTCATCTTAAGCGTCGTCGAGTGTCGTCGAGGATTGTCGGATCCAATCTTTTCGATCCCGCGCTAGTCCACGTCCAGCTGAGCGTTATTATTATCATCATTTCGGCAAAATGATATAATTCCATTCGCAATTTGCGACAGTATGTTAACGAAGCACATGTCACGGGGCTGTCGTAATAAAGGGTAATCAAGGTATAGGAATGCGTCTGTGCGGTGATTATGGTCCGGGGGAGGGGGGGAGGGAAGGAGAGGAGGGTTGGCCGCATCTATCTGATGTCGTATCGTGACGAAGGGGGAAAGTAGCGGAGGCCAGGGATAACTAAAGGAGGTAAGAACGCGTAATGACGCGAGCAGGAGGAGCGCGCGTGTACGAGCGAATGGGATAAAGACGAGCGGATAGTAGAAAATATGGCCATGATATTTACTAACTCGGCCTCCGCGTGAAAGTGTTCGCTCTTCGCTTTGTGCCCCGCTCGAAAGAACGTATAACGGGTGTCCCGATCGAGAGAGACGGAGTGATTGATAAGCGACGGCCAGGGCGAGAGAAGGTGCGCTTCGTTGATTTAATATGGACGCGCCTGCCGACACTTTTATTTTTCCGTGCAATCAGAGAGAATTCAAGTTTACATAATGTAGACATAAGTATAGCGTGACCTAGTTGAAAAGGCGAGACGTGTACCACCACCGGTGAAGGTCTAACAGTTCGATAAGCATCGAAGTATGTCACCGCTCTATTATTCACGCACATGAACGGTCGAATTTTCCACGCGACTTGAAATTGAATCTCGAGAACCGTCTTGTGATATCTCACCCTTTTGGCGATGTTCACGTTGACGAGTATCTCGTGAGGAGAGGTGCGCGCCTCCTCCGGTGGCGAAGAAGGGGGGAGAAGGGGTCTCGCGAGGTGGTACGGGCACCTTTCTCGCCGAGGAATGGCAAAAAAGAGAGGTGGCCCTGTGACGTCACGCAGCTCGCGAGGTGGTGCCGCTAGCCTCTCACTTGGTCGCCGACGTTCGACCCGCTCGGTTCATCGCGCGCTCCGTTCCTCGTCTTTCTCGTCGGCAAGCGACGTGATCGCGCGACGTTTTTGAACACCGAATTTGGACGGAAGTGACGGAGACGAGAGTTGTGCGAGATTACGCGGTGACACGAGGTCTCGCGAGTTCCGCTTTGGTGGTGAAGAGTTTTTCTTGTATTTGTCGTTTTTCTTGATTGTGCCATGACACTCTGGATATGATACCGGACGGATTAAGCCATCGTCGGAGGTGAGTGTGTCTCTGATTAAGTAGATCGCGTATGATTGATCTTTCGTGCTTGAGGGAACTTCTCCGAGATTGTATTTCCCATTCGGAGCGCCGATGAGAATTTTTTATACACATTTAATCAATTCGGTACTGTTTTAATACGTTTGACAGACTTGTGGTGTTTATTACAAATCTATTTATCGGGAATTAAGATAAAAAGATATACTTCGCGAAAAAGTATTACCTTTATTATTTTTCAATCATTTCTAAGATGTGTTGCGTTTGAATTTCAAGAGTAAAGCTCACTTCTCGTATCGTCGTTACTCGAAACTTCATACGACAAGAATCTACGCAAAAGTATTTATTCATAACGAATTATTTTTTAATTACATTTTTGCGGATAGAATAATTACATTGATATAAAATAGATTGCTTATAATTATTTTCGAGTTAATATGGCAATTAAAACGCAGGAATAATTATTGAAAAATTAAAATTTGGAACAGAACAGAATTGGAGCAAAGTTGAGTCACAAACTGATTGTTTCGGGTAATTTCTGGTTATGTTGAAGAAATTCCTTGGAAAGATTTTTCGTGCTGATTTACATGTGTTGGGACGGCGTGCCTTTGCCAGAGTGAAGCAAATTGCCACTTGTTGTATATAATTTGTTCTAATTGACATTTTCTGCAGCTGTGTCGATTGTGAAATCTCAGTAGTTCGGGGCATAAGAGATGAATCGCAAAATGATGAAAGTATCATGCACCACAAAGTGTGCTGCGATCCTCAATAATTTTGTCTCCATTAAGCGATTTTCGGATCTTTAGTGAGCTCTCTTGGCAGGTGTTATCACGTAACGCGATAGAGCTTGACTCCAGAATCTCGCGGATGATATTACCCTTAATATAATTATCGATGGAACGTAATTACCGTTCGAAGTTTTTGAGATCGCAACTGTACACAGACGGATATTTCAGGGATCGCGCTGTGAGGATTACAATTTTATTTATCGAGGTTACTTCATGGATGTCGTTTCTAATACGTCATTCGGCGTATTACAGTCTCGCCAAGACGAGTGTACAAGCCGATCATTAAATAGCGCTCGTGCCAGTCATTTTGCACAACATTCCTCGCGCCGGAGAAACGCGGCCACCTGTTCCTCTGTTATACCGCGTGTCCCGAAAAGATGCATCTCGTCTTATTTTTTAGTTGGAAATTTTCGGCAAAGAAATTCTAGTAACATTAGACTATTTGAACCGTCAATCGATTACAAACATTTAATGCCGAACATTCGAACTTACCGTTTATGTCGAAATTATTTCGCGACGCAGTTCTGTACACAGTGCCGCATTATGTCGGTCTTAAAGGCAAAACGCAATTTCCGCAGATCACTACTATAAGAAACGCTTCCTGATGGGATTGCCCGCCCGAAAAGTTTTTGCAGTCCGCGCGTGTCGAGAAAGCGACGAAACTCCCGTGCTCGGCATTAAATTGACTCGTAAATAATCTTTCAGCACGGTCGTTATAAATTTGCGGGTCGTTATTTTTCTTCGAGATACTTCTTTATCGCGCATCCGGCTTCCGCCTGGCGTTTTACCTCACCGTAAATTTATGTACTCGCCCGTATTTCTACCATTTCTCCTTCGATCGATATCTTGGAGCGAGCGTTTGTGTCGGTTTTAGATAAATCTTCGTAATTTACTCACCCTTAATAAGTGATGTCATCGAATGAATGTGTCGAAGGGAAAGGAAGAGCGATCAATTCGAAGAGATACGCGTATGATCGATCGTTTGTCACTCGCAATTAAATTACCCAGGCTGCGGAAGACCACTAACGTCCGGCGACGCGAGGTCACAATGACCCCCGCGCGATCCATCCCGGCAACTGGTATAGCAACATATTCTATTCTACGGCACGTAGAGAGTCCGCGAGTACTGAAAAACCGCGCGATCTAGGGGGACTGACCTTTCAAGGCGGCCGCGTAGGCCTGGAATAAATCTCCGTGTCCGCTCGTGTGTTGCATCGTGTGGTCATCGGGATTACGGGAGCGCCGCGTAAGGAATCGTAATTGAAAACGCTTAACAGCTCTCAGTCGCAAATGTCTCGGTTCTCAAAGAACGACACCCCGCGAATATATCTCGCAATCGTCTTTCCGCGAATAGTCGAGCGGAGAGAACCCAGCATCCAGTGTGTCCAGTTCTCCAGCGAACGACTCTTTCAGCCACCGCGAGCGGACTGACCTCCGGCTCGACGTTCGTGATACGAATAAATTTCCCACGGAGATCCTCTCTATATATTACTTAGCCGCGCAGCAGTAAAAATGTGTTTTTTTCTATTACATTCACAATTCTTTCGTATCTAACAACCCAAACTTTCTATCAAATCTTTTCATTTGCTTAAGTTTTTTTCTTTCAAAACTCTTCATTTGATCATCTACTTGTACTTATTATAATTTCAAGTAATTCAAGTCATTTTTTATTATCCAGTGTATTTTTTCTTTACCTAAATCACTTACTTTCTGCTTTTTCTATGTTTCTACTATTGTATACTTTTTTTGCTCTCCGACCTTATGTAAATGTTAACTTATTAGTCTTTGAAGACATGCACTGAAATAAACTCTCTCTCTCTCTCTCTCTCTGTACTAGGAAACGTGACCGCGCGGATGTACAATAATGTCCGGGAGAATGACACGCTTCGCTTGGATTGTGCGCGCCACGCGCATTTTTTACTCACGACGAATACAATTATCTCGAGAGAACGAGACGTTTTTCACGTACTGCCGGCTCGATGTTGCTCGGTTAAATTACGTCGTAACAAACATACGGATAAAGAACGCGTTGCGTCGGCTGGGACAAAGTACGCGTTGTTTTTGTGCATTACGCACATTATCTTAGGACGGTGTGATGTAAAAACTGTAACGAGATTCAGCGTTTCATCGCGTCGGTTGCAATGAGACGTTTAATTTTTCTCGCCGCGGCGTGCAGAAAGGAGAGCCTTCTTCTCGACAGAGAACAAACGAATGGCAATTACGACACGCTGTTTCGATTTATTATTTACACATTACTCACGAATTAACGGCGACAAAATCTTGATGGATTATTCATCTTTTTTTTTTGAAAATGTATGACAGAAAATATGACCGTAGGTTTGTAAATATATTAATTTATTTACTTCAGCTTACACGTCAAGAAGAGGCTTGATCGACAATTTTTGCCTTAACTACACGCATTTATCCATACTTGACTAGCTAAAATCTGACAAGAATGAAAGTAAATGGAGAAGAAATAAATTGTTCGAAGTTAGTGCAAGAATTGAGATAGAAAATAAAAAGGGACAATTAAGGATAAGCGATCAGACAGAAAAAGCTGTGTTGGATAGAGTAGAAACAATGAAATATTATCATACCCCTTGTCTCATTATCTAATCCCTTTTCATCTCCTAATTAATTCTTGTACTAACCAATTATATATCGCTATCTTTTCTTCTTCATAAACTCCTTTTTCTTCTCTTCACGTAATTTACGCAACATATTTCCTTTGATTGTATCTAGCTGATTATCCCATATTTGTATCCCATTTTTCGCCCTATTTGGTCGTTCATCATCTTATTCCAAGGCATTCTACACAATACGTTTTACACAATTCCGTCCTTTTCCACAACTCATATATTTCGGTCGCGTTTTGACCTCCTCCTCCGCGATGCAGTTCCGCTCGCGTCGTCGATCGTCACGGGTCAACAGTGCGATATATAATTTCGAACGTTCCACCCGGAGGAGACTCGCAAATTCCGCGATCGTTCACGCGGCCGGTCAGAACGAATTGTCGCCAATCGATAGATCGGCGGAATCGATTCGCATGAGCGACAAAGATTATATACCGCGCCGTGTTCCGTTCTTACTTATTGGATCGGAACGCGTTCGGCGCCCGCGATCGATCGGTCTATCGGGAGCAAAAAGGAGCGTCGGCCGATTTGCATCGAGGGACGCTTCTTTTTTTTCCGTGCGAGCGATTTATTATCGTGCGGCGGATGCTCATTAGGCGGTCGTTTCTCCTTGTCTTCGGGCGAAGCTCATTAGTTCCCGCGCGGGCGCGTGATGCGCGCTCCTTCTGCGACGGCCGATTAATAGACGACGCTGGATTACGCAGCAGATTATTGGATTAATAAGCCCGTTGACCGGATGGCTGCTGGACGGAGTCCAGCTCGCTTGATTTCACCGTGTGACGGTTACTTGCCGGCCGCGAAATCCCGCACTTTGTCTGCTGATAATTAGCGATCGCGCGCTGTAAAGTTTTAAAAAAAGAAACAAAGTATGCTTCGAATAGCTTGAAAAAACTGTTTTTCTTTTTTTTTTCTTTTTTAGAAATAAAACTTGAATTTATAAGAAGGAAGAGATGTTAAATCGATAAGCTGAGAATCGTTTTCGCCTCCGAATTGGCCGAAGAATCCGTCATTAAAGAATAATAATAGAAACATATGTGTGTTGCTTTGTCATATTTCACCCGCCGTTTTCCGAACCATATGGGGCCCGTATTTGTGTGGCATGACCGGAACACACACCCGCGAGCGTCTAGCGGGAACCACGTCGAGCACTTCGTCGTGAAAGCGAACCGGATCTCGTTAGTAATTCGTGTTTTACGCCGAGCGAGACGTGATGTATCGCTCTGGATTATCACTGGCCGCTGAAGAATGCCGGTGTATAGTGTCGTCGGCAGGGCTCTCCGTTCTGTATGTTAATGCACACATGAACAAACCAAGGGAGACCGATAGTTTGAACAACGCTCTCTGTTCGTACGTCCGTCAAGTTTACTCCGAGACCGGGCGGTCTCGCATGGCGGATACAATATCGTTTAGTTGTCGTCAAATAATCCTACCGGTTCGATGTGACGTGTCGTTTAATCAAGACAGCCGTTCGAACATTCGCGGGAAAACGTTGTTCGTCTCTTTTTATGTTCATCGATCGGTCGATCTTGCCGTAAATAATCATCGTCACTTTGAATATGACGGTAATTTTACATCTCTACCG